TATGTGAATTTGTTGGTGAAAGCGTAGCAGTTGCCGGAGTTTCACACGATTTGGTTGTGAGCAAAGTCTGCTGACGTTGTTTCTGTTGTTGATCATCAGGCATAATTGTGTGATTTATTTTGTTAAAGTCTTTGAGATCTGAAATCGTATAAAGAATATATATAAAATTATAATTTGTTATTTTTATTATATAATGAAACATACTTTTAGTCCGTTTCGGACGTGTTGCTGTATTTTCATCAATCAAAATATTATCTTTGTCTTTCGTGTTTTTCTTCTGCGGATCTCCATGCAAACAGCACTCGGTGTCAACGAGAACATCATCGTGAATCACATTCGATGTATGAGCTCCCGACGGCGCAGCGGATTCAGTGTCAATAACATCTGTCGCCTGCGGTAAACAATGTGCACCCTCGATCTCTTCGACATCCTCCTCAAAACTTTGCATTGTTTTGTTTACAGATGTGACGTCATTCGTTATTTTAAGAGTGTCTAAGCAAAGATCCGGTTCACTGACTGCCTCATAAAACGTGTTACTCTCTTCTTCATCGCCCCCATCGTCGTCATCTCCCATTCCACGACCGTCAGTACGACCTTTACCGCCATTACCACCCTCCCCGTTCGCTTGGTAACCCATATCTGCAGCCAACATGTACAAATCTGCAATAGTTGCTATTTTATTACTTGCCTGTCACGCCGGTATTGCATTTAACTATGTAGCTCATGAATATCGGCTCTGCACGCTGCAATTGCACGTTTTTTAGCCATTTGTTTTGCTCGCGCTATTCTTCTCACAATTCTCAGACAAGTTTATTTGTTCTCTTCAAACTCGTTCTGTTCCGCACATATTCACCCGCTATCCTCTTCACTTCTTTGTTTCCAACGATCATAGGACAGAATGTAAATTTATAGATTTTTCTAGTTGGACTAATTTAATTAAACTTCCATGCTTAATTATAAATATCATATTTTGTATTTTCCAATACATAGGGAGTCCTCATCATATGTTTCTTTAGTCCGTGTAACAGTTTTCACTTTTTTTGTCACACTTTCTACAACTACTTCCGCATAAAAATTTTCGCAACCATTTGTAATGGATTTTCTCAATTTTCATATTTATAACTCAATTATTTCACAAATTATTATGCTTCAACACCTGCATGGAGTATTTAGTAATAATTTTATAATATGTTTTTAAATAAATCACGCTTTTCACGTAATATTTTTGATTTTTCAAAGATGCATTGCCGAAACTTTCTTTAATAACATAAAAATAGTAAGGTTGTTCCTCAACATCATTTAAGCATAAACTAAAACACAGCATGAACCATATTAATGGCTTCTGAACAATGTGTTGATAACTTCAAAACCATATTTAAAAAAACCTCATAAGTTTTCATTTTATCAAACTCAATTAAATTACACTTCTTTGTGAAAATTTTTAAGCTAATAACTTACCAACATAATTGAAAAATAAAATAAAATTTTTCAAAAACTTTACCAAACTCATATCAAATTGGGCTGTTTTTTCCTATTGTCAATTTAAGCAAAAAAGCAACATTGCTTCGCCACGATTCTTGACATTTGTTGGCTCACGCCGATTTGTATATTTCGAATAAAGGTTTCTTATTCTTGTACGGGTTTTACTAACGAATTTATCCTAAATATTGGGTAAAATGTCTGAGGCAACTGGTGAGCTATCAAAAAAGTAAGTGGAACTGAATATAATTTCTGAATGGTTTAATGCAATCACTGATTCGATGTCATCAAATTGTATCACCGAATGTGTGGTTATGTTGAAACACATGCAGAATTCCAGTTGCAATTTCATGTGTTAATGTAAAAAAATCTTGCAAAGTGTATATTTTCAAATAATTACGAATGTTTAGCTTTTTTAATGTGTATCGGAAAATAACGTGATAACAAAAGAAATAATATGTATAAACTTCTAAGGCCGTACGCGAAACCAAATAATTTTCTAAAGTTGCGTCAGTTTCATGCTGCATTTCGACAAGTTGATTTGAAGTGCCATGAGAAAGAAATAAAGATTTGGTGCCAAAATGTAACAACGCGACATATTCATTCCACAATATGCCTAGAAGTGCCAAGCAAGCGTACAAAACTGTAAGCGAATAGAGCTTGGTTTTTATATTAATTTATTCGTATGCGTATGTTTGTGTGTGTGTATTTTTGTTCATCTAACACCTCTATTTTATATTATCGTAAAATATATAATATTTAGTGTGGGACACATTTTCGAAATAAAATGTTATTTTTAATCGATTCTTTGAAATTATTTTTAGTGAGCTAAAAAGGCGTCTGAAAGCTGAGCAAAAAGCCAAAGAAAAGGCAGAGAAGGAGGCGCAAAAAGCGGCTGCAGCAAGTGCTAATGCTGATACCAATGCTCCCAAAAAGAAGTCGGCGGCGGCGTCAGAAGAGGAAATTTCACCAAATGAATATTTTAAACTGCGTTCAGCTGCTGTTGTTGATTTAAAAAAATCACCAGAAACCCATCCCTATCCTCACAAATTCAACGTTAGTATATCTTTGGAAAATTTTATTAAAAAATACGAGAATCTTAAAGATGGTGAAATGCTTGAAGACGTCTCGCTGAGGTGAGTAATATTTTTATAATAATAATTGATAAGATAAATAAATAATTAATTTTTTTACACAGCGTTGCTGGTCGCGTGCATGCAATACGAGAATCTGGGGTGAAATTAATTTTTTACGATTTGCGAGGTGAGGGTGTCAAATTACAGGTGATGGCCAATGCTAAGTTATACCATAACGAAAGCGCCTTTGAGCCCGATACTGCAAAAATACGACGTGGTGACATTATAGGTATCAACGGTTACCCCGGCAAAACCAAGAAGGGTGAACTCTCTGTGGTGCCAAAAGAGGTAAAAATCTATGTAATTTTACTCCGTCTTTTCTACTAACAGTTTTTAATTTTTTCCGATACAGATAAAGCTATTATCACCATGTTTGCATATGCTGCCTCATTTGCATTACGGCCTCAAGGATAAAGAGACACGTTACCGACAAAGGTATTTAGATTTGATCATGAATTCCAAAGTGAGAGAAACCTTTCAAATTCGTGCAAATGTAAGTTTATTTTGAATTTCAAATAACTCGTTTGAATTATAATTTTTTTTATTCGGCAGATTGTTTCATTTGTTCGACAATTTCTCGATCGCATGGGTTTCTTGGAAGTAGAAACACCCATGATGAACATGATTGCCGGGGGTGCAACTGCCAAACCCTTCATCACACATCACAATGACTTAAATATGGATTTGTATATGCGTGTCGCACCTGAATTGTACCATAAAATGCTCGTTGTTGGTGGATTAGATCGAGTGTATGAAATTGGGCGTCAATTCAGAAATGAAGGCATCGATTTAACGCATAATCCAGAATTTACCACTTGCGAATTCTATATGGCTTATGCTGATTTTAATGATCTTATTGAAATAACTGAGAAAATGATCTCAGGCATGGTTAAAGCCATTCATGGTACTTATAAAATTAAATACCATCCTGAAGGACCTGAAGGTCCCGAGGAGGAAATTGATTTTACACCACCATTTAGAAGGGTTTCGATGATAAAAACGCTAGAAGAAAAGTTAAACGTCAAATTTCCATCAGCTACAACGTTTAATAGCAAAGAGACAACGGAGTTCCTTTCACAACTTTGCGCCAAGCACCAAATCGAATGTCCGCCACCACGTACAACGGCACGTCTGCTGGATAAATTAGTCGGTGATTTTATTGAAGAAACTTGTGTAAATCCAACATTCATCTGTGAGCATCCGCAAATAATGTCACCACTGGCCAAATATCATCGCAGTGAACCTGGTTTGACGGAACGTTTCGAGCTGTTCGTCATGAAGAAGGAAATTTGTAATGCTTACACCGAGTTGAACGATCCGATGGTGCAGCGTGAAAGATTCGCCCAACAGGCGAGCGATAAAGCGGCCGGTGATGATGAAGCGCAACTGATTGATGAGAACTTCTGTACAGCATTAGAATATGGCTTACCACCAACAGGTGGCTGGGGTCTGGGCATCGATCGTCTCACTATGTTCCTCACCGACACCAACAACATTAAGGTAAACATTGGAAATATTTTTATTGAAAGTATCTAAAAAGATTTATAATTTGTGTGTGTTTTAGGAGGTGCTCTTCTTCCCCGCTATGAAACCAGAGGAAGCTAATCGAACACAGCCAGCAGCCAGTGAAGGCGATCAAATCGCTGAAAAGAGTAATTAGCATAATTCGGAAATTAAAGTTTTTTGAAAGCATCGTTTGGTAAAGTGTATAATGGATTCACAAATATAATTCTCAAAAAAAAAAAAATATAATAAAATTATTTATTTGCTATTATAATTGTTCGTTATTTTGCGAATACGGTTTATCATATTTGGTAAGTAATTATAGTTAAGTAGTTTTCAGAGTTCCAAATTTTTTAATTAAAAATTAATTAATTTTGGATTGAGAAAAAAAAATGATTAAAAATTTTGTATTGAAAAAAAAATTTGTATTGAAAAAAATTTTTAATTTTGTATTGAAGACAATTTTTAATTCCGATATTTTAATGTTTAGGATTAAAAACTTATGTAATAGATATATATTTTTTTCTTTAATGGTAAGATTAGAAAACTTAATTTTTAATCCCAAAATCAGAAGCGAAAATTTATAAAATTTTAAATTTAAATCGATCATTGCTCTGAAGTATTGAAAATAATGGCTCTGTACGAGCGCTAGATAAAATGTTAATACTTGGCGTTAGAATTTATTTATTTTTTTTTCAGTTCAGTATTTTGGATAAAATATTTTTATTTTTAAACTCGTTTTTTTATATTTTTAATACCATATTTGGAATTAAAAATAAAAAGAAATGTCTTCCAAAGTTAACTCATTGATTTTTTCATGCAACCCTGATGGTTAGATTTTTTTGGCATAAAAACAAATGCAATGGAATAACGAAACAGCGCTTGAATTGTTCATTTCACTTTTATTTATTGAATCTACAGTTGCAGTCGCGTATTTGTGCAGCAACTTTTACATAATTGCATATGCGTTTAGTTTAGCTCATAAAATGTAATTACAGCGGGGAAATAATATATTCGTATTCTCTAAAAAATACACCACAATTTACACGTAGTAAAAGGGGAATACATGTACATATTGGTTTAAAACTAAAAAAACATTACTAAGCATTACAATAATAATAAAAAATTATTTAAATATTTCGAAGTCTCCCATTGGAACAGCAAATATGATTAGCCGTGCAATTTTCAACAATATATGTACAAATAAGAATTAAGCATTGCAAAACTCGACAAAAACCAAATTTTGCATATAAAAAATGGTAACGTCTCAATTGTTAACGCTATGATGTTACAAAAGAATGTACGCCACCAAATGAAACTTAATACAAATGTTAAGTCAGCGAAAATCCATTGCTGTTCATCGAATTCAGAAATTAGCTTCTCAGAAGAAAATTTATAAATAGGTTTAAATAGTAAATGGAATCTCCTTAAATTCCGGATCATTGGCGGGTTTCACATACATGCCGCCATACTTCGCCATGTACTTTTTAATGAATTCGCGGGACTTATTCTTAACAGATTCGGTTACGACCAATGTCTGACCAACAGACTCGCAGTATTTCAACTCTTTAACCATAACAAAATGTGTGAGCTGCAAGCAAATGCATTGAACGAAGGTTAATAACAGTATTTTTTCTCAAATAAAAACACAAACAAACCTTTCGCGCGAGATGATTGAAATCTTCATCACTCTGAATACGAGCGAGCGTGCACGATTCCTTGCGATATGGCTTTAAGTGTTGCACAATTATACCAGCTATTTCACAGCGGAACTTTTCCTTAGTGCGACGATACTTGGAATCCGAGTCTTTGCTCTTTTTGCTAATGAAAAAAGTAAAAAAGAGAAATGTAATTAATTATTAATATTATAGTTTCAACTACAAACAACGCACCTTTTATCTTTCTTATCCGATTTTCGTCGCTTATGCTCACTGCCACCGCTGCTACCGCCACTACTACCACTGACATTACTCTGGCCTGCCTGTGCGCTAGGTTCTCGATGGGGCGGTAATGTGCGCTTGAGCGCACGTTTTGTTGTGAGCGCATCCAATTCGTCGACAATCTTATCGCCTTGCACAATTTTGTCCAAGAGTGGGCTGTTGTTGCATTCCTCCTTCATAATCTCCTCCTCATCCGATGAGAGCAAATAGTCTTGTATGGGTATTACGCCATCCGGTTCATCGGAGTCTTCGGCAGTTTTGGATTTCGTTGCGTCGATATTTAAGCTGTCTGCAACGATGTTGGGATTTACGCCACCGATAGCTGCGGCTTTGAGTGCTTCAGCGCGTTTGCGCCGTATTTCTTCCTTACGTTTGCGTATTTTCTCTTTATTTTCTTTGTATTTGCGCATCTCTATTTGATTGTAGATGCGATCCTCCTCCTTTCGGGGCTGCAAATATAAACATATAAATTAATTTCAAATCAAGTGAAAAAAAATACGCGTGAGTACTTACACTAATCGGACGCTCATCCACCAAACGACCGTAACGCTTATGCCTACGATTTTCTACCTTCTTATCGATGAAAGCTTTGAGTTGCGCCTCATCCATTCCTTAAAAATCAATGAATATATAAAATAGGTAAAATTTATAGGTTTAAAAATGTAGATTACTACCTAAGAGTACGTCATCATCCTCGCTGCTCTCATTTGCCTGTTTAGCTTCCTCACAGGACTCGCTGTCCGAACTGTCGCCTTCTTCGGCTGCAGCCTGCAATTGTTCAAGCGTTGGCGGGTGCCATTGCGATATTTTTTGCTTAGTATGGTAGTAATAAATTTGGCCCAAGTTTGTAATGGCGTATTTCCATTGGCGCGGCAAGGTAGCAACAACTGCAGGTAACTTGTAATCTTCAGGATCGGTAGATTTGGATTTTGGCTGCACCTGCACGTGTGCGTAGCAAGGTGGAGTGGGAATAGGTTGGCGGGCAATAGAATACCATTGACCTGTTGAAGGGTCTACGCAGAAAGGAACATCTTGCGAGCGTGTCTTCTTGGGGTCCAAGCCAAAGAAACGACATTTTGTTTCGAATTCTCTACGCTCTTCAGCCAACCGCTTTTCGGCTTCATCGCGTGCCACCTGAAAAGTTAAAAATATATACATATATATTGAGTCTGATTACAGATTATGTGCTTTTCCCACCTTTGCAGCAAACATCTCTCGTCTCTGTGCCTTTGACAAATGCTTTATACCATCATGGTGATCGTTCGCCGAACGTCGACGTGGATCTCCGCCTGGCATTGAGCCTACAACGGTTATATTATTGTTGCGATTGTCTTTACTGAAACTTGGTTTGGAAAAACGAGAAGTGGTTGGGCCGCGTCCGAAACGATCGCGCTGATAACGATCACTTAGAACAGAACGATTACTGTCGACGGAAGCTTCGGCAAACTGTCGATCTGCCTCCCGTTCGTGCTCTTTCATTTGTTCGATACGTTCACGTTTCGGTATGCGGAAAATTTCTGGCAAACTATTCCATGCAGTGGTTAGTTTCACAGCTAACTTCTGCAATTCCGAAGGTACCTCCTGTCCGCTAGCTAATTCCGTATGTGAATTACTACTTGTGCTTTCTTTCGACGACTCATCGCTTGGAGAAGATGCATTGCCAGTCGGCATGCTGCTGGTGGACAACGCATTGCCACACCAATTTCGTACGCTCTGATAGACCTTACTGTCAGTGAGTACAGTCTTGTTTGCTATTGGCAAACTCTCCAGCGCCTCTAGCAGGGACAAGCGAATCGCCATATCACCACCGTCTTCGCTCATCCACCCATGCAACAAACGCAGTCCATGATAGTCCAAGAACAGTCGGCGACAGGGCAAATCGGCATTGCGGAGAATTTTCAGTAGATTGAGACGAGTTTGCGGTAATTTGGCGCGTACGACCAAACGTGAAAACCGCAGCGTGTCCGACTGGTTTCTCAGCCCGCCACGACTAAGGAATTTAACCTCGTCTTCGATATCCGGATCTTCCAAATAACGCGATGTTTTCGACTGCTCACCAGTAGCAGATTTACGTAGTCTCTTATCTTTCTTTTCTTTACTGGGTTTCTTTTTTCGCGCTGCTTTATCAGCAGATTTGCCCGCGAGCTTTTTCAGCTTAGCGTCTGCATCTTCACCCACTTTTTTCTTCTTGTCCTTACCCGCGCTATCCGATTTTTCATCCAACTTTATTTTACCATCCTCTGAGCTTATCAGTGATTTGCCTGATGCATCTAGTTTCTTATGTGCATCTTCGCCATCAGCTGTGCTATCATCACTGTCCTCATCATCGCTACCTTCTGCCGAATTATCCGCATCGTTGTCGTCATCGATTTGTTCACCCTCATCCGAATTGGGTTCTTCACCTATCCAACCACGACAGTTAGCCGACTCGCAATAACAACGTTGTGCCTCCCTGCCGTAACGTTGATACTGGTAGTCGAACGTAATTTCTTCACCTGGCATAATGGACTTACGACTGAAGAACCCAATTCGTAGTTCACCATTTACAGTCCACTTTTGAGTTTCCGCATTGGGATCGCAGGAATGATTAATGAAGCGTGAAATGTTTCCCTTAATTGTGGCATCGATTATGGCATCGCTTCGTAATGCCATAAAGTAATAGTGACGGTTTTTGTCCAACGAGTATGCAGTACGGCGCTGCTCAAATTCATCGCCATCGATTACCTCTCCAACGTATTCCATAATGAATTCACCAGGTAAAATCTCAATGTCAGCCATTATACCGAAGCCCTTCTTTTCCGTTCGAAAGACTCGGCATGGTGAACAGAGCAGTTTCTGAAAGCGTTTATTTGTACAGCGAACTTTCACATTACAATCGGGTCCACATTCGATCATCAATAAACGATTCAAGCAATCTTCACCACAGCCCAACTCACCACGCTCTTCCTCTTCGGCTGTCAAGAAACAATCACACAACATCTTGCGCGCTTCTCTACTCACGACACGTTCACATTTGTACTCATTCTCTTTAATGACATGGAAGTTACTCAGACGTTCTTCCATTTCTTTTAGGAACTTGGCATTCTTTGCCTCCACTTGCGCCAAATCCGTCAGATGATCATCCAAACTATAGTGAGTTTTCATTTCAACATCATCTTTAATTGAGAACCGCTCTTTTTCGCGCACCAACCCACGACCTACAAGCGCCTTTGGCATTTTTGTTATCTGTTTGATGCGATGAGAACGCCGAACTCCGGTTATTTCGTCAATTGCTTGATCATGAATAGGACTTTTTGGTGGAGGTGTGGTTGTTGGCGTTGCTACTGGTGTATCTGCCGGGGTATCGTAATAAATATTTTGAGGGAGTGTGTTCGAAACTTCTTCGAAGGATTTGTCAACCGGCGTTATGTCGCCAGATATGCTTTCATTAGGCGTCGTCATGCCTTCCAGCACCGCTCTAGATGGCTTTTCATCATTTTCTTCATTTTCCGCAACATCCGATTTATATTCTTCTTTTTGGAGATGTGTTTTCGGACAAATAACTTCATCTACACTGTCATCATCAATCTTATACCCACGTTTGAGCAAGTTGACGCCATCTTCAATGAATTTCTCAATGTCCTTCAACGGATCTGGTTCTTCCTCAAGCTCATTGTTTACCGTAGCTTCAGTAGTGGTGGTGATTTGATCCTCCTCTACAGTAGTCTTCTTTTCTTCAACTCCAGTTGCACAAACTGTTGCAGCGGCAACACTGTCTTGTAATTTACTTTCTTCCAGCATCGGAACTATGTTTTCGAAAGGATTGGCACTTTCTTTAGTAGATTCAGCTGGGACTGTTGTTTTTGTGAGCGCATCCTTTAGTGCTGCTTCGAAATCTTCTTTCAATTTCTTCTGCCTTTTTTTCTTCGCACTTCTCTCCTCCATTTTCTTAGCTAACTCATTACTAGTAGTGTCTTCGATGGCCAAAAATTGCTTCTTTTCCGATTTCTTTGATACAGATCCTTTCCTTTCCCTATCTTTAATTTCACTCTTATCACTACTAATGTTTTGATCCATCTTGGACTTCCTTTTACCGCTTGTTTTATCCTCTGGGGTTTTCTCTGAAGCCATTTGCTTTTTGAAACGTTTCGCCACTGGTGTAGATGTCGCTGAACGGCTTTCCTCATCAAGCGAAGATTCAATTTGACTTTCGAGACTTTCTCCTTTTTTCATTTGATCAGACGATTGCGCATCTTTCTTCGATTTTTTCTGTGTAGATTCTTTGGCTTTACTGGAATTGCTTGCTGACTTTTTGAATGAAGACGTTTTTTGTTCAGCACTAGTCTGGCTGGTGGTTGGAATTTCTGAATGTGAGGCGCAACTCTTCTCTTCCAACTCCATCTGCATTTTAAGCAGCCGTTTTTTAGGCGGCGCTTTGGCCAATTCTCTTTCCAATAATTCAGCTGCGTTTGGAACTGTGACCGGCGTATCGATCTGCAGGTCATTTGTCGCATCGTTTGTTGACTTTCCCTTTCGAGGCTTTCGTATTTTTTCATCGGCATCTTCGGTGTCACCACTTTTTTCTTTAGTCTCCGCAGTTTCCTGATCTTCTGATTTACCTTGACCCTTAGTCTCCAATTCGTTCGATTTCTCATCAGACTGTTTATTACCTCTTCGCTTTCGAATTTTTTTAGACTTATCGACTAGTGTATCTGATTCTGATTCTGGAAGCTGACAGTCCACTTTCTCTGCCGTTAAGTCGCTACTAGTAACCGAATTTATTTTAGAGTCAACGATTGAGTTCTCTTTTAACGATGGTGGCGACCCACTTTGATCTAACTTTTCTAATTTATTTGGTAACAACTCTTTGGGTGATTCTACAATCTTTTCTTCGTGCTGTTGAATCCGTTCTTCGGGTTTGATGATATCGATTTGACCGCACTCTCTTTGCGTCTCAACACTCTCTACTTCAAGATCAACGCGCTCGACTGTTTCAATAGCCGAAGTCAAAGCTTTTTTATGTTTTCGAGTTTTTGATGTAAATAGTTTGTTTTTGTCATTATTTTCTTCTAAATTTTGGCCACTTAAATCAGGTGTTGTATTATTGGATATACTTGACGTTTCGTCGCCTGTAGTACTCATCACTTGACCCACTTCAGTTGAAAGTTCCGCCGTTGTCGTTGGAGAATCACATTTTTCTGATTCCAAAAGTTTTTCTTGGCATGATGCATTGGCCGTCCCTTTCTCCAATGTGTCAGTGATAATCTGATCATCAGTATTGGTATTTTTTACGTTCAATTCAATAACTGATGTGTGCAAATTTTGTTGTGATATTTCTAAGCTACCATCGGCGGTCGTATTCGTATTGACAGTAATAGTCTCATCAACCGGATTCATTTCGGAGACTTTCTGTTTATTTTCACTAGAAGACTCTGCAGTAATAGGAGAAGTGCTCGTAGATGGCTTATGATTTACTTTTTTATTCCTCGCCTTTCGCCCGCATCGTGAAGGCGACGAGTGATTTGAATTACTATCAATATCTTCGGATAGTATTACAGCTTTTGACACGTCGCGAACCTTCGTATTTATATCTGTTGTTGTTTCCTCGATCGTAATTTCTATAGTATTTTGTACATTCGGCACTTCATCTTCGTCTAGATTATTAGGCTCAGTTAAATTAATAGGTGTATGGCTTAGCTCAACGCTCGCAGAAGAATCATCCTTTGCATCGACTGACTTTTCCATAGCATTAACAGTTAAACTAATAGGTGTATGGCTTAGCTCAACGCTCGCAGAAGAATCATCCTTTGCATCGACTGACTTTTCCATAGCATTAACAGATTTAGAAATCTCCTCTTCATTATACACGTTTGGTGTATCTGCGTCAACTTCCTGCGCCTTTAACTTCAAAACTGCCTTTGAACTCGCAGCTGCTATTTCAGCGAATGTCTCTTCTAAAGTTTTATGACCAGACTTATCTCCACGTTTTGAACGTCTCTCATTTCGGCGTGTTGGTTGCTTTGACGGCTTTCCATTGGAACTTTCCGAAAGTGTTGGAGATGGTGTCTTCGTAGCACTGCTTCCATTCATTTCGTCACGTGAAGATTGTGAGTCCGTTGCCGAATTTATGTCCTCCGAACTACTTTCATCCAACACATTATCTGCCGTATGTTTAGTGGTGATAATATCCCATTTTTCCGATTTCGCTGACGTATCCAAATTATTGGAAATGTTCATTGTGCTCTCATTAACAACATTGGCAGGTATTTGCCGGGACGCTTTTTTCAAAATATTTTTACGTACTTCTGCTACCGGGTTTTGAGAGCTAGTAGCTTCATCAATGGAACTTTCCTTGCCTTCAACAGACTGTTCAGCGAAAGTAGTTTGAATTACGACCTCTTCTTCTGGCAGTGGTGTAAAGTCGCAATCCGTGACTGTTTCGGATATTTCACATGTTTCAGTAGGTAAGTCCATGCGTTGATCGGACTCATCGTGCGCATGGTTTTCCCAAGTGAACGTTTTTATAGATTCTCCTTCATCTCTACTTTTAGCTATATGAACACATTTTGATGGCTGCTTATTAGTCTCTATAGAACTATCTTGGTCGGTTGCTTGTGATTCTTCCAAATTAATTGTCGTAACACTCTTATCTGACGTGCCAGCTTCAAGGTTTTTCTCGGCTTCAGTAGTTGGCATGTTTTCTTCCCCTACTATAGGCGCTATAATCTCCGAGGATGTGTCATCCTTAACTGCGGGCAACGGCAATTGCTGGAATGCCTTCGCTCCCATTGTTAAATCATTCTGCTTAACGGTATTTAAGATATCCAACAAGGTACTAGTCGCGACATTTGCCGCCACATTATGCACTGCCGCTTCATACATTTTAAACTTGCTCACCTGTTTTTTAAGTGGCAAAGTGATAGGTTCTTTTTTTGTTTCGCACGAAACAGAAGGTGACTCTTCACTAACGTTTCTATCATGCTCTCCAAGCTCATGTTTGTTATCTACAGCATCTAGTGCAATGCTGCTTGATTTTTGTGGAATCTCAGTTATTTGTTCAGAAGAGAGCTCCACGACAGCAATTGCAACGGGTGCTGCCTCAACTTGCTGCGAAGTAACCAAATCGGCACTAACGTTTTCAATTGTTGTAACTGCACTATATTTACTTTCTTCATTCGATTGCTCGAAGTCTTTATCCGTTTTAACGGTAGTTGGAGTTACTCTCTCTCTTGGCAGTTTACCTGTTTTCTCCTCTACACCAACTGTCATCATTAGATCTTCAGTATCTAAAATCTCATTCAATGAGACTTCTGCTTTACTTTTGGGTTCTCCCACTATAACTGTGTTGTCACTTTTTTTGGGGAACCTATGAGATCGTCTTGGCGGTAAGTTTTTACTTGTTGTTACGGTACTTAACTCTGTAGTGTTAGCGGTACAGCTACTTCCGCGACTGCTGTTATTTGTATTGCTGTTGTCGCTACCAGCAATGACGTCACTACAGCTGTTAGATGCCGATGATAACGAAATAGTAGAAGTGATGGTACTCGGTGGCAACGTTAAGCGTTTCAAAGATACACGCAACTTATCGCCCTTTTTATAGCTTTTGTTACTACGATCTGAACTGCCCTCTGATTCTGAACCGCTCGATTTGCGACTTGTGCCGGACATGCCAAATGTCATTTCCGAGAGAGAATCTGACTCTGCTTCGATTTCTTTATTCGAATCCAAATCAATTGTAATACTTTGATCACATTCCGTTAACGTATCAACCGTTTTTTGTGAACATGTTTCACTTTCAGCTAGCAAGGAAATAGATTTATCAGCTGGTGAACTTTCCGATGTTATCTCTTCAACAGCGGCCACAATGAATTCTGGTGCGGATGTAGTTTCACAAATACTTTGGCTATCTTGCCAAATGCATACGGAGGCGAAGTTTCTTTGTTGTGACTCATGTACATCCGTTGGAGGATGCACTGTTTTAGCCTGATATTCATGATCAGATATAGAAGAAGTAGATGATATTTCTAAAATGACATCTTCATGCTGTACAGAAGTCCTTTCGTTTGATACAGGATTTTGCCCAACAGGGGTTTCAACGCTTTCAGCACATTTTAAATTTGCTTTGTACTCTGTCCAATTTGTAGCATTTTGAGAAGCTTCTTTACTGGCGACATCTTGCTTTTCTTTATTTTCGACAGAATATTGTTGCTGCTCGTCTGCTTTTTTACCTTGTGGAGTTATATGAAGCTCCGTCTTCAGGTTTGATTTTGGTACAGGGCTTTGAGCTACAGTATTTTTATTTTTCGGCGGACGACCTCGGCGCTTTTGTGTGCCAGATTCTATTGACGCAGGCTTTGGATCAACTACTGCAGTAGGCGAAATAAATGAATTTGAAAGATTTTTACGTTTGTTGGATATATCTGTTGAATAGAAAATTCATTATTATAATAAATGTGTAACAAAAGATTTTCAAATTAACGACGTGTCGACTTTTATTTAAAAACATTTCTTTGCGAAATGTACCAAATTATTGGCAACATTTCCAAATTATGGGAACAATTTTCATCCTCTGATACAACCACAAAATTATTTTTTTTAAAATAATTTCAGTTTAGTAATATACCCTTTTCAGTCTGTTATGAAAAAATATCTCCAATTTTGAGTATCAGCTGAATTTATAATTGATAAGCATCATTTACTTCGAAAGTTTACTTATCTATATTCTATGTACATACAAATGTATGTGTGAATATAACATATATTAGCATATCAAATAGATAGAAGAGTTAAAAGTAAGTAAAAACGGTAACTATCCGTATTTTATGCGCATATATAAACTTCAAGTTTGTTACTCTGAATATTTTCAAGGATTTTGTACCATCGTGTAAACATCGAGAATTTATACATATACTATATACATATATAAATAAACACACATATGTACACACCCACATATATGTATATGTAAGATGCATATTGATTTTTTACATTTATCGATTTTTTTTAATGTTGTTTATTTGTGTTTTACTCACTTGTTGACTTTTTCTGCTGTTGTGATGTCACAACTGTTGGGAGCATGAACCCACTGCTGGAACTAGAAGTATTACTTTCAATTTGCGCTATTATTAGGCTGGAATTTTGCTTTGATTTTATCAGGCTGGCATTAAATATTTCCTGGGTACGACTCAACCGTCTTGCTTGTGCTATTTTCGCTGGATCTATTGTAGTCATAGCATCCACATTACTCTTCAAATTGATTGTGTTTTTACCTAAAACACCAATTTTCGGTATGGACGATAAGGGTGGTGGAAGTATTGGCGCATTTATTTTATTATGTTGTTCTGATATTGATATGCGACGAAATATTGCGGATTTCTCCATAAATGCTTTCTGTTTACTACTTAAATCAGAGCTTGAAGCTGGAATTGAGCTGCTTGTATTACTACCAGAGCTAAATGAGGGTAACGATGTAGTTGTTTGGGTTTGCGGAGCGTTTGAATCTATGCGTGCTTCTATTTGGATTTTATGTGGCTTTCGATGTTTGTTTAATAAATCTCTTACGTCAAATTTTATGATCTTCTTACGTGAACTTCGCCTACATTCGTTGCTACTTGATGGTGTTGAAGTCATACGAGGATTAATCTTATCTGTCGGTACATTGGGCGGCGGTGGAGATATAGCCACGAAACTGCCCTCAACTTCCATAATACTATCATTTTCACCTCGACTCGTAAACTTTTCTGTATCGTTCGATTGGTTAGACGTTTGTGCACTCTCTTCTTGTGATGGTGGCATAGTGTTAGCCGTTTGCTTCAGCTGCGTTGCTTTAGGAGGCCTACCAACACGCTTTCGTTGTGGCGTCATATCTGACGTTGATGGCGCGGAATTCATTTTTAATTATCTAAAGAACACTAACCTTTTAAAAAGATACATATTTAGTGATTTCGTAGGTAGCTATGCCAGCTCACATACATACATATAAATATAATATATTCGTAATTTATTTCGACTTTGCTTTGTGCCGTTCTAAATAATGAAGTGCTTACCGCAATGGAATAATTTGGTCCTTTCAACTATGTCCATTAAACATATTCAGAATCTTAATCCCCAGTTATGACTTTTTAATTTATGCATCATACCGCACCAAAAACTGTTCCTTAATGGTTCATTAAAACCATGTATGATTTATATAAACAATCACTAATCCACCCTCCCACTGATACTCCGTTGACCGACACTATTCAACTGCAAAGATCTGGCAAAGAATTTTATAACGAATTCGTAGTAAAAATAAAAGACACTTTTATATAAATTCAATAATTACCACTCCTTCCCGTTAAATATATTATTTAAAACATGCAAATGCTGGGCTATAATAAATATACATGCGGCCACAGAAAAAATCTTCTGAATTTGTTAAGAAATGGAAAAAACAAATTCCAGCGGAGTTGCCATATTTTCAATTTCCTTTTTACATTACGAATAAGGTTACAAAACAGAAATGAAACGCTATGTTTGTATTTTTGAGACTATTAACTCAACCGGTTAACGAATACATAAACCAATTATTAAAAGTAACTATTTTCAAATTTATTTTGAGAAATCTATCATATTTATTTCACAAGTTTTTTATATAGCGACCTCAAATATTGCTTATGTACATGCTTTCTCCCAAAGAACCCCCGATATATCGAACGATCAAATATTTTATTATATTCCAAAACAAACGGTACAATCTTCGAAGAAATTCATACAAAGTAATTGATCAAAATCCAAACCTTGTATGGAATATTTTTGTATTTGTGCAGGATATTTCGTTGCAACCGAAGCTGTTTCTTATTTATATTTAATATACTTTGAAAGTAAAAAACAAGAATTTTGTTTATTTTCATTTTATTTTAAATTTTGTGAAAATTTCATTTTATTTTTATTTATTTGAGTGACTTTAATAAACCAATATTAAGATTTGAGCATGATGCAGTCGGTAAATTGTCAATGTGGAGACAATTGATTTTTAATCAATTGAAAAAATATAACCCATGCCTTTTACGAGTTAGCACATCCTCATTCCAATCATTTATTATAAGTTAGATTATAAAAAAAAAAATAATAATACAAAATTATTCCTTTTTCTATGAAATAATACAAAATTATTCTTTTTTCTCTTAATAAAAATACATAGGTTTTATGGTTGAATAACTACAATTACATATAATCATATAGATTAATATGTATTAGCCTCAACCTATGTTTAAAAGGTTTAAATTAGTATAAATATGAAAAATCGATCAAGGATCCGAAGTTTTGTTGGCATAAATTTATGTATTTTTTACCGTGGCAAGTTAACTTTTTCGCACAAAAGATGAGCAGCAATTATTAATCAACATCCAGATTTTCGCCATTTCACAACAGAAAAAATGGTAGAAATACTTTTAATTTACATACAATTCAAAATATGAACAAATACGCTTTTGCTTAAATAAATAAAACATACCATAGCTGATAGACTATCCTTGATTATTCTGCTCGCTTCATTATTCTGTTCTATATTATACTTCAAACTTACTACAAACTTACAAGCTACTCTTTACTTTTTTGTGGACACAGAGTTAATTCTAAATGATAACTGAGTCAGTTTGTTCTTATTAATAGATTTTTTGTTTTAATTGTCAGACATTGTTGATGTTAATTTTATTTTATTGAATGAAAACATAATATCAAGAGGAAGAAACAATCTTTGTAGAGAAATCGTTCAAACCTTTTCTCATGCTTAAGTGTGTGTGTGTGAGTGTTTATGTTAGCACTTATTGTATTGTACATGGCCGTTGGTATTGTTGTTACATCCTTTTGATATTTCATTTTTCTTAATTGAATAACATATTCAGTAATTAAAATATGTTCGGTTGCGCTGTCTTTAAATGCTACAAATTATACATTATAATTTTCAATGCTCATCTATAATACACAAAGCAAACAATTAATTTCAATAAACTTTCCATATATCATTTATGAAATAACACTTGGTTAGTACTTAAACTATTTCATTTATGTTTTTGTTTCCAATAAATAATTTTTTTTAGTCAAAACACATATTTATAACAATACACATAAAGTTAAATAATCCTCTAGCAAATTATATATGTATTTTATTTATTAAATATATATCCAGCGAATTTATCAAATGGTAAACAGTTTTCCTAATTTCGCTTAAAATGCGAATATGGAAAGTCATGCTGGGGTGGAAGATATCAAGGAGAAGAAAATATTAAGAATATGTTTTCGGTCTTTATGTATGTCTGTGTATGTGTGTTAAAACTAGTGTTGGTGTATTGAATTGGATTCTTTTCATTAATAATGCTTAATATATAAAACAAACTAAAAACTCGTTTAAGCGTCACAGCACCAAATTTTTAATCTGTAAAACTGGAAATAAGCACAATAATTATTATTATAATTGTCAAATTGCGAAATTAAATTTATGTTATGCTCACACCTGCTACCATAAACGATGCAAATGTAAATTTCTTGACAAAACTGAACGCACGTCTTTTGTAAACCGCAGGGCGTCCAACATTGGAAGAAGTGATAGCAGCGCAACGTCCATTGGGTCGGAGAACCAACTCCTTATAGGTATCGCGTTATTAGGAAAGCAACGATATGCGCCAGGTGAATTGTCAATTATAAATATCTATTTGGGTATATTTAAGATTTAATTAATAAATTTACGGCACATCATAACAAATTTTGTTCAATTACTCTATTCAAGTCACTGCAGATAGCAGATAAATCTTTGGTGTATGAGCTGAAATCAGGTGTGCAATGCTGACGATAATAACGCCGACGCAAAATATTACGTCCGTTGTCCAGTTTATCAGCAACTGCAGCGCCATAAATCTCCATACTGGCTGTAAATATAACTAGGTCATACCATTGTGAAACCTAAAACGATATATATTTAAATGTAAGCTGTAATGTTCAAGTTTTAATTATATTCCTTCTTACCACATCCAAAAAATAGTCTACATGAGGCCGTTTATGAACGAAAAAGCGAACTGGATGATGGTCAATAATTACTTTTACCGTGAAGTCATGAGGTGTACCAGGCTTCACGGTATTTCGTGACATCGCGCTGTGGTGTGAATGTATGAGCGTTTCATCCAGATCTAACACAAGTGTTTTCCGTTGCACTATACTAAGGCGATGTCTGGACACCGGTGATAATGGGAAGAGTTCATATTTGACTGGTTGATATTGAACAATCTGAAATTTTTAATTTGGCGATAAAAAAAAATACAACTTCAATTATAAAGGAATTTTAACTTTTATAAAATGATTAACATGTTTCCACTTCGGTTAAAATATCTTTTAATATCACCTATAAATAAGAAGGTTCTTAGCACTTACCGAGCGAACTTGTCTGTTGAACATAAAACAGATGCATGTCCACACTCTTGACAGTAGTACTGATAAAGCGCTGAAGTTCATTTGTACGAAAGAAAACATTGGTAAGCGACGTCGATAACGTCTTACCAATTTTTACACAATCTCAGGAAGTTAAGAAGAGGCTGCAAAGGTCAGAACAGAAGTTAGCAATGCCAACATTATTTTTATTAAATTTATTTGAAATTATTGTTTTCATTAATAATTTAAGAGCTGGTATTCCAATATAAGATTGGGGAAAAGCGCGGCAACGATCCACCGAGACAGGCAACAACAAAATCAATAAACGAATACACAGATAGTTATTATATTATCTTCCAGTAGTTTAGGTTTTGTAAAAATAAAACAATTTCCACCTTTGATTCGTGAAAAAGTAGTTTAATGCTTCAAAAGAAATCACAAAATATAATTTTATTTACACATCAGCGATGTTTGTATGATTTGTACAAATTTTCGCTTTGTTTTTTCCAATTCTCTTTTGCACATTTCCATAAATGTTGGCATATAAACGCGAAATCGTTTCGAACCATGAACAACCAACTACTATGGTAGAGACAGATTAACTTTCAAACCCAGTGTTGAAATAAAAAATTTACTTTTAAAAATATATGATTATGAAAACTGCTATTATATTGTATATCGGACAGAAGTAAATAAATTTAGGTAATTCTCGCAATCTTTAACGAACGTCATAATTATGTAAATGGCAGTAAAAGAAAAAAGCATTGAAAGAAAATGCGCCCTTGGCCTTTGGCCAAAAAATTACTGTTCATCTACAACGGAAGAATAAAAGCCATATTTATGGTTGGTTTTCATTTGATGTATGTTTATCCTATTGAATTACGTGCCCCAAAACAATTTACCTAATCAGAATTTCTAAAAAGTTTTGTCGAAAGAGTTTGTTTTACACCTTTTCTAGTAAACTTAAGTTCTTAAAGGTCTTTAAATACTTGGCAACTCTACGTTATTCGCACATTTTCCGTCTATTTGCTCACAATTGACAACAATTCGGTTCATATTTTCGCTCTTACATATTATCTATTTTCTCTTCGTCTTGTGGTAGTTTCTATTTTTCTATTATACTTTGTTATCCACTCCGTTTTTTTCGATTTTATCGCAGTGTTTTTACCTATATATCCAATTATAACACCAACTTTCCGCCTATTTACTTAGATTTTGTTAAGTGTTTGCTATCATTTAGAAAAATCAGTCCTTTGCACATAAATTTTAATCAAACCCGATTCAATTTCTCATCTACCGCTTCAACTCCGACTATCTTCACAAACACTGTTGAATAAATATCTGCGAATTTTTCATCCGCAATTGTTGCCATATCAATTCGATGAAAATTACCTCCCATTACATTACGATTTGACATGATCGACATGATCGTGTAATTCCTCTGCACATCTTCCTATAAAATAAAAAAAACTTGAAAAAAATCAAGAAATCCGCTTCATATTAATCAACATATCATAAGTAAAAGCAGAAAATAAAATCTACAATAATTTACATCTAGCAACTATAATTTGCAAAATTTTCCGGCGAAAATTGAAAATTGTGAAGTTGGCCTCGCTTCTTGAATTGTTGCTTTTTGGCGTATCCTTGGAAGATCTTAAAATTTTTTAATGACATTTAAATTTGTATTCTTTCGATTGTTAAATTAACATATCAAATATAATCACACGCAAACTATAAAGTGCAACACAAATATATCTATCCAAATTTATTTAAAGCCGAAATATTAAAATTTTCTCATAAAAAAGTTAAGTGACCAAGGTTTCATAAAGAGGCAGTAAAATGCATCTCTAGGCATGTCGGCGAATTAACAGCGCAGTCAACGTCAACCGAATTTGTAGTTATCCCTAGCGTCATTTGTTCGCGAAAAATGTGGAATTTAGTTTTTTAATTGTAAATTAAGTTTTGCCAAAGTTATGTAAATTTGTTTTTGTATTTTGTCCGCTACATAGTATATTTGTCCTTAGACATATATGAATTAATATAAAAAGTGTTAAGTGATAAGATATAAACTCCGAGGTTTAGAGAGTGAAAAAATTGTATAAGTTTTGAGGCCACTTTGAAAGGCAACCCATTTATTTTTTCTTCCCCCGTTAAATAATAACCGCTAAAATTGTGGAAAAACAGGAGAAAACTCCAAAGCGGAAGAAGAAGGCTGCAGCCAGTAAAATGTCTGCAGTTTATTCGCCGCAACAACCGCAGCAGTCTGCTCCCCCAGGTGCTGTACTGCAACCGCCTCAGCCACCAACGCCGACGTCGATGCAGCAACAACAACAGCAGCAGCAACCACCGGGTGTTGGTGCCGGCGTGGGTGGAGTGGGGATGGGTGGTCCAACAGGAGTGCCAATGGGCTCCGGGGGTCCAATCCAACGCGGTCCTTCCATGGTTGGCAGTGGTGGCGGACCCGTCGGTCCTCCATCTTCAGTTGGAAGTGGTGCTATGATGGGCGGTGTTGCGCCTCCGCCATCAACCCAACGCGGTGGTATGCCACCATCACCCAGTCCAGCACAAATACAAAAAATACTTGACGATAATTGTGGTCTTATTCAAACAATTCAAGACTTTCAAACGATGGGCAAAGCCCAGGAGTGCATGACATATCATATGGCACTACACAGAAATCTCGTTTATTTAGCACAACTAGCTGATCCAACAATGAACATAGCTCAGATATTGCCGGTGAGTCTTAAAGTTAAGCATTAACGGTTGTGTTTAGCTTTTTAAATATCTACGTATGTACATATATGCATTTCCGTGCTTATCAATTTGTTTAGCATCCACATGTTCTTCAACAACAGGCAGCCCAACAACAAGGTCCACATGGTATGATGGGGGCTCCACAGCCTCCACAACAAGGTGGACCCCCGACTGGGGCAAATCAACCACAAATAGCCGGTATGCCACCAATGTCCCATACGGATGGAAATGTACAACCTCCTTCGGGGGCTCAAATGTCGTATGGAGGTCAACCTCCACAATCGCATCCAGGAATGACGCCAAACTCTCAATCTCAACAAGGTCCTCCTCAACAAGCTATTCATTCCCAACAAACTGGCCAACAACAACCCCAACAACAAGGCGGTGCTTATCGTGTTGGTACTTCGCCTCAATCAGCCAATCAACAACCACCAACTGTGTCAAATGCAGGATCGAGTAAGTGTAAAGTGTCTGATAAACGCAAAAATTCTTTTAAAACTATTAATCCATTTATCTAATTAGATCAACAGCGCCCAAGTGTTCAGTCAGGACAGCAGTCGGTTCAAGGGCCACAACAACAGGCCCCCAATTCCCAACAAGGTCCGCCTCCTCAACCACAATATCGTGGCAATTATCAACAACAACACAGTCATTACCCTGGCTATCCACCCCAAAGCCAACCATCATACCAACCTCAAACCGGTTATCCATATGGTCCACCCACTCAAGGCTACGGACCACCTCCTCCAAATACACAGGGAGGCTATCACCATGCGGGTATGCCACCGACATCATCAGCAGGTGGCGGCCCACCAGGTCAGCATGGGTATGCTAATGCCAGTGGTCAGCAAGGACCTCCGGGCGCTTATGCCCCACCTCCGCCGAATCAGCAAGTTGCACCGGGCCAGCAACCGCCTCCTTCACAAATGTATGGTCCGCCTACAACTGGACAAGGACCACCACCACCGCCAAATCAATATGGACCACCGCAAGGTGGTAACAACGCTCCTCCACCGATGGCATACGGTGGTTACGGTGGCCCACCACCAAGTGGTTATGGTCAAGCGTCCAATGCATTGCCCAGCGGTTATGGTCCACCTCCTCAAAATCCAACACAATCGCCCTACCCTCCACAATCACCATACCAGCAAGGTGGAGCGCCTGGTGGCTATCCGGGTCAGTCACCGCAACAGCAACAAACATCACAGGGCACTAGCGGTGGCTATAGTTCCTCGCCAAGTCCAGGTCAAACACCGCCACCGCCATCAAACCAACAAACTCCAAACTCGGCTAACCCAAATGGCCCAAATGCTCCACCAGCAAGTGTGCAATCCACTTCACCATCTACTTCTTCTGGCAATATTGGTGTCAATAGCGGTCCACCGAACCAGCAGACACAATCACCTCAGCAGCAACAACAGCAGCAGCAACAGCAACAACAACAGCAATACGGAAACCAACAGCCGCCAGTTTCCAGTGGACCACCACAGCCACATGGATCTACTCCACAACAACAGCCTGTATATTCGTCAGCAGGGGCGCCCGGTGGTGGTCCTTCACCTTACGGCGCGCCATCACAACAGCAGCAGCAGCAACAACAGCCGCCTGGACCGAATGGACCGCCTCAGGTGCCACCAAACACAACGGCACCACCAAATGGTACGCCCCAGATGCCCAATCAGCAGTACCAACCGCCACCAGCAGGTCAACCGTACGGTGCGCCACCACCACAGCCCTACGGCCCGCCACCACCCAGTGGTGGCTATCCAGGACATGGCTACCATCAACCGCAGGGCGGCTACGGTGGCATGCCACAAGGGCAATATCCACCTTCACAAGGTTATCAAGGTTATAGACCCACTGGGGGTCAAATGCCACCACCAGGCGCCCCTCAAGGTCCGCCAACAAATGCATATTCATACTACGGAAATCAACCTCCACAATAAGTGCTTGCACCACAAAAAAGGTTGATTCAGACACGCGTCAACTGTTTAATACTATCTTCAAAATTGATATATATAATATATTATATATATACATGTGTTATATATATCATATGTATGTATATCCCTAGATAAATAAGACAAAATATTGGTATTAATTCCGATCCGTAATGAAGGGGATAAAATAAAAGAACAAAACAAAACAATCGGCTAAACTTAACGGAATCTTAGAAGCTGTCTCTTATACACATCTAGATGTGTATAAGAGACAGGTGTTATATATATCATATGTATGTATATCCCTAGATAAATAAGACAAAATATTGGTATTAATTCCGATCCGTAATGAAGGGGATAAAATAAAAGAACAAAACAAAACAATCGGCTAAACTTAACGGAATCTTAGAAGTCTATACAATTTTTTCAATAGTTAAATTGGCTCTGGTGAACAAATATTAACATTATACGCGGCAAAATTATTTCCAACACACTAAACTCCAGAATCTTGTACGTCAGGACTAAAAGTTTTCAACGAGAATGGCGCTACTTCTGAGGTGTTTATGCATAATAAAATACATTTGTATAACGGTATACCATACATTCAGTTAGCGTAAGCCGACGGAGATGTAATTCAGTTGTATGATTTAAAAGAAAAGTTAAAAAAAATGCTAGCTTTTATTTAAAGCCGTTATTGAAAAAATTTTACGAAACTATACAAAATTTACTTAAAATTGTTAAAAGAAAAAATAAGTATAAAGATTACAAAAAAAAGCGTAGGTAAAAATAAACAATAAACATATGTAATATTTGATACTATGTTATCCTAAACAATACAATGTACGCATTCCCCTTTTAAATAATATTGATCACGGAAAATATATTGAACGGAATGCAAATTGCAACATAAAATTATTGCGACGAATTCAAATATGTAACTTTAGACTTAATCAATAATATAATACAGTAGTTTACGTTTGATTGAGAAGCCGTCAGGCGAAATAATTTTTTATTCRCATATGATATCGCTACTATCCTAATAAATATGTCTATGTGTATTCGTCACATTTATACAAAATATAGTACGGAAAGGATGTTCATTTCTTGATGGCGAAGAAAGGTAAATATTGAAATTAATTATGGAAAATTTGCTAAATTAACAAAAAGTCAAACCCTTAATTGGTATAAATTATCATTTTATTACTAAAAAAATGTTTAAATCAAAGTATTTTTTAATATGCTAAATTTCTTATTGTTTGACGTCAGCAAGGGAATGTCCAAATACCGTGTCTGTGTGAACTTCTGCTTTATTAGAGTTGGTATCGGTTTTATTTTGTTTTCGACGAAACAATTTCTGCATCACTTTACCTTTTAGTGATTGCGGTTGCGCGTCTTTTTGCTCCACAACTATCCGTTTGGTGGCTACACTATGTATGGGTCCAAAGGCCAAAGCTACGACTGTACAAGCGAGACAAATGACATTATACGGCATGCTAAAATCAGGAGTTGGCAACGATAATATAAGCGATTCTGTACGGATTTCTAGGAAATATGAATGCCGTGACGCATTGAATGAATCAGCGAAAAGGTGTTTATCAACTGGTATTGCCGTGTAATTCCGTCCCATTGGTAATTGTGTTGTTATTATAGCAGATCCCAGGTAATGACCATGATTTGCATCGGGTGGGTATTCGAGCCATTTCAAGAAAATATAATCAAAATCGAATGAAATTTGTACTGTACTCAAAGCGGGTATTTCGAAGAGTAATTCTAGATGATAGGGACGTAATCTTTGTACACCTGGTATGTAGTGCATGACCCGCGGTTTTATCGTGTATTCTGCACCGTTCTCCGGCTGTACAATTAACTTTAGTGTATGCATATAGGATGGCACGAACCATGGTATATTTTCTTGTAACACAATAGGTAAAGCAGCATAATGTTTATTTGTAATTTGTGTAAGAATTTGACCTCTCTCCTGACCATGTCCCAATATGTAACGATGCGCATATAAAGGTGGTGTTGGTGTAATTTGTATATTTGCTTTCGTATTCTTATTTATCCAAGCGATATTGAAGAATTTGTCTTCATCTAATCGTTGAATGTCATATACACCCAACGTGGTTGTACTGCCACCGCGCTTTGAAGTAACATTATACATGGGTGTTGGTGTTAAATCATATGGTTGATCATCCAAATTAACGTAAATTTTACTACTTTTCGCCAGTGCACAATGGCCATTTAGTCCCTGGCCAAAGAGACGACGAAGCGAAAAATCTCCATTTGTACCCAACAACTTAGGGTCATATACCATATTTGCAGTTTCGGTGAATTCCAAAATGCAATTTTTATTGTAAGATTCACAAATTGTACGCATTTTCATGCCCAGAGAGTGATAATTAGTATTATGTACGTGACCGGAGTTGAGTAACGAAGCGAATCCTTGTTTACTGTTACAGGGCAACAACTTTTTCCATGGTGTTAGATTCTCCGTGCAAACGATTTCCCGTGGTAAACTCGCATACCGCACAAATTGTGGAATATTCGCCTTGCTACCAGTGACAAACTGTGGCCGGAAACTATATTTCGGTTCAACACTGTTTGTTTTGTCAATAAAATTCAAGGAGGCACACAGAATTCCAGAGAATGTGCTAGCTAGCTTTACCCATTGATCATCAACATCAGTAGAAGTTAAATTTTCTCCTGCAAACCATGCCCTTACTTCTGCACCTGGCGCATTGTCCATTACTGGATAGCCGTAGGTTTCATATCGCCAGAGTCCCTGAGTTAATCCAATATGTAATTCCTTAACATCGTACAGTAGTAATGTTTCCGCAATGGATCGAGGTATAAGCTGTGTGTTGTGTACTGAAAATATTGAAAACATAATATACATTTTATGCACTTAATAAACTGTATTTATTCCTACAATGCTCTCTATCGCCATAATGCCAACGAGTGGTAAACTGAAAAAATGTATTGACTAGCCCATTTGCCATAGGGCGTACGTATAGCTCCTCGTTAAATTCACTAGACTCTTTTACCGCTGCGATATATGATGCATATAATAAAATAAGGAATATAATACTGATTCCGAAATTCATTTTAAAAAATAGTTAATACATCAATTCACAAAAATTTTTGACAACAATAAACATTGTACAAAACTCGACAATTTATGACAATACTACTGCCGGCTGATCAATAAGCTCAAGTCAAATCAAGGTTCGCACATTTGCTAACAGAGTTTACTTTTTATTTAAAAATAAAATATATTTAAAAAATTCTGCAAAATAATTTGTTTACTTAAAACAGAAAATGAAATAGTATAAGTATACAATGGTAAAATAAAGTTTATAGAGTAATACAAAGTTTTATTGTGAAGGTATAATAGACACCGGAGTCGGTTTAAAATGTAATTTTATGTATTAAAATATAAAATCATTGTTTGAAAGAATTGGTAAATATTTAATACCTAAACAAATACCAATTAGCTTTTTTTACCTTAATTTTGTCAAACCTATTGTTGTGTATGATATTGAAATGCAACCCTGTATGTGCAAACGTTTAAAAATGTAGCATCGCTCATCGCTCCTCGGCGAGATGCGAATGCATGTCTTTGGTAGATAAATTTGCCATTAAGGCAGTTCAAATAAATGTTTATAAATAGCGTATGTGTCACAATAAGTATCCGTTTAATTTGAAGATTTGAAGCGGGCAAATGCATTTGACAGAATTAAAGTTCTCCAACGAAACCGTGGGACTCACCTTTTACTTATAGTGTTAAAAGTATCCTTAGAAACCAATTTTTTTTTAAATAATTTTTTTTATTTA